ACCCTTGTTGTACTGAGCAGACAAGAGGTATTGGCAGCATGGTGGTAGAGCTTTCCCCGTCGGCGGAAGTTAAGAGTCTTGCTCGGGATGCCTAGGAGTTAGATAGTGGTGTATTAGAGATCGATCATCTATTTTTTATTTGTAGACTAATCAAGTATTGAAAAATGTATTGTTGATTCTCAAGTCTGGTGGCCTTGCAGGCTTTGCTCATATAACATATATCATGACCCTAATTGTGCCCTAATCAGCCTCGTCGCCAAGAAACGTACATCATCTACTAACATAACCTAATAAACAGGAGAAAGCTACGCGATCGTGATGTGAGCTACGGGCTGCGCAAATGATTATTGCTAATGGTGTCACGAGGTTAACCTGAATACCATGTAGACAACCAAGTTGTTCCATAAGGAACTATAATCTAACTATGGGAAGTTATGTCTACCTTATCACATTGTCATTGTCCTTTGTGTCATTCATCATGATTCATTCGCATCGTGTCGGTTGTAAGAATCATTCGCAACTAATTCACATGTCAGACCCATCGCAACAGCATCGTCCTCTATCTAGCCAATTTCAAGTCCATAGTCTAACCACCGCGTAGTGTTCGTGCAAACATAAGCTTCTCGGGTTTTTTGGCGTGGGGTTTCTTTGGTGTTTGGGTTAAAGTGGCCGGTGCCACCTTTCCATATCGTTGCCTTCATCTTCGTCGATCATAAAGGCATAGGTTCGCATTTTTTTAACGATAGGCTTGTAGGACTTCTTCGATAGATTAATAAACGTAGCAGCAGCTCGCTTTCGCTTAGTGTTATCCAGGGTCTAGATGGCATCCTTGAGTTCGTCTTGCTTATGTGCCTTGTTAGGCATGTCCACCATTTTCATGGCTTTGGCTAGGCGGTCGATATCCTTTTTCTATTGTGCGATTTCGTAGTCGTCGCCATCGAGACTAGCTTGCAACTCGCCAAAGGCTTATTCGAGTCGTTCAAGCCTGTTGTTTTGCTTTTCCTGGTACTGGGTCATCAATTTCTGATTGTAGGTATACTGAACATATCCTTTGTTCTAGATGTCTCATCTCGAATCCTACCACTGAATAAATTCATCGGTTCCAGTACGGGATGTATGACCCCACTCGTCGCCTTGATAAGAGCCGGAGGCGTCCTGTAGAAGGGTACCGGGCCAAACATGGTGCTGGTGAGTGTCTTGCTCAGCTTCATACTCAGTCTCATCCTTAGACTCGCCCTCAGTCTCATTCTCAGTCTCATACTCATACTCATTCTCATTCTCAGACTCATCATCAGGCTCGGACTCTGACTCATCCTGAGACTCATCCTCGGTCTTATTATCAGTCTCATCCTGAGCTTCGGTATAGCCATGTGTCCGGGACCGTCACACTTTGTATACTTGACTATGGGGCACGCTGACATGGTATGACCCTCCACAAAGCAGGTAGAGCAATAGAGAGAAATGTAACAGTCCTTTACCTCGTAGCCAAATCCCAGACAGTTCTCATAGAATACTGTAATCGTAACCCTGACCTGCCCCGCCGAGAAGATTGAGTCTGTTCAACATCTGCATGTTGCCCTGGGCGAAGAAACCGCTGTGGTACTGCTGGTGAACGGCGGCAGCTGTCTAGGATCTCCTAGAAACATGAACAACTTGGCCGTGGGGAAGGAGCCGCCTTCCGCGTAGACCCCCCAGATGTGTTTGCCACATAATCATTTCGACTACGGAGGCTTTTTGCTCAAGTCGGGAATAAACCATATGGAGATGTTTTATTAGACGTTGATGCATATAGCCACGAGAACTAGTATGACTCGTCTCGCGCATGAGAACAATTTCTCTTGTGACATTTTAGATGTGAGCAATGGTGACCCTATGAGTATATGCGACAGTGATCCTGTGAAGGTCTCCGGTGAAATTAGGGCTGTCGGTGCAAGTGTAATCGATGATCAACAGGTCAGCCTATCCACCTTGGAATCCTATTAGGAATTAGCGAAAAGCCTGTCAGTTGCTCGAGATGGATGTTTACCTTTGATGATGGTGTCAAGTCTAGGGCCATTGCAGTATGACTCATGACATAGATGCGACACAGTCATATGCGTGGTTGACACGAGCTCTCTCAACTTTTTCGATTCGCTCTTTAGAACTTTGACGAGAGGCGTCTTGGTCCGACGGTATGAGGGAGTTGGAATAACCATGATCCGCATCTACTGTCGTATCAGTCTCGAAGGGCTCTAGACGCCTACCAGTCGCGAATAACTTGTGACTTACCAATCAATACCTCATCAAAGACTATAGTCTTGCTCTTCCACTCTTGAAGCCGGGCTCGCACATCTATGATGGTCGTTTCAGAAAGTTGCGACCGCGGAGTGTGGTTCCATCGCATCCCCATATGCACTCTCCCAAATATGACCTGTGCATCGCCAGGGCGGTGAGGTTTGGCTGTACGTAGATCAGACTTGGTCCGGGAGACCTCGGCCTGGCTTGATAAGATTATTGCTGGAATTGATGCTAAGGGGCTTTCCTACGAGCGTGACCAAGCAGTTGATAGTTCGAGAAACGGAGGTAACCGCACCTTAGAGAAGGTCTGTGGTGTCGTCATCCTCGAAACTCTGGTCTTCTTCTAGGCTCAGTTGCAGCTAGAGAGATTTATCAGCAAGAACTGATGATACAGAAAATCCCAGACACTTACATCAATGCCATCGCGACCGCCAGCGTCTACATTTTCGTAATCAGGCATGATTGCGAAATGAGATTATATTTTGTATCGGTGATCAGATATGATTGGTAAATATGTTTAAATAAAGATATGTGCTGATTCCTGTTGTATGTATATTGTGTGTCGACGTGCACAAGCTCGAGTTGTCTCTCGTTTGGGGATGGCCCGAATGAATATAGGGGGATGGGGTTTGAGTGACTGACGTCAAACTAGAGCAGACGAGAAGGCATTGCAATCATATTGCAAGGTCCATGCTACTGGAGGATAGTTTTAAACTTTTAAGATGATATGGTTAACAATCAGGTTGTTCGAAGAGTTCTCGGGTGCGAAACCAGTTTTCGAGTAAAACAAAAATTTAGACAAAAATGACGAAAAGGAGAAAAAGAGTGAAGAGGCTGAAAGAGAATAGAGTAATGAGGACTTCAACAATATAAGATGGACAGCAAGGGATCAAGAGATAGAAGATAGGTGCAAACTTACCTTGAAGTTGAAAAATTAGAGTTGGGAATATAGATGGTTCGCAAGGTTGCCGCGACGGTTAGGAGCGTCGATGAAATGTAATAAAGGTAGGTAATATAGGAGATGTAATTAGTTGAAATAGGTTAGGTATGTTATGTTAAGAGAAGGTTGCGATAATTTAGTGTAAGAGTTGAAAAGGTTATGTATAGATTTGAGAAGCGTAAGAGAAGTTTTGTAGAGAAGAGTGTTAGGAGATGAAGTTAGAGGATGGAGTAAAGTAAATAAGAAAGCCTTTGTCAAAATAGAAAAGAAAGTTTACTTGCGTTTGACAGGACTGCAGCTGGTGAATGCTTGAGTTGCAGTTGCTAACTTTGTTGCTAAGGTATCAAATAGATTCAACTACTTGGGAATGCAGTTGCTACCTTGTATACCTTATATACCTTAGGTAGGCACTACTGTTAGATATATGCAGGATGTATTGTAGAAACCTGGTAGTAACAATCAGCAACGCATTCCGTAATACTTGACTACCTGTCTACCAAGTGCAAGTAACAACACATACTATACACCCACATCAACAACAATATCTATGAGTATATTCCATCCCCTTTCATCTTCATCCAGACATGGAAGTGATATCGCCTGGATCTATTCCGAGTTGCAGCTCTATTCGTAGCAGAGTTTCAGCGCTTTGAGTCTTTTAAATTAGTTGAACGATCACATTCGTAATCAACACAGAACAGATAAGATCATTTAGCTGTCTATTACCAACTTCAGAGACAAGACCTAATGACTACATAGTACTAGGTAACTTTGACATCGAGAATGTATGACGCCCGACATTCATAGCTTAGTTATCTAATATATATCGCGGAGTTATGGTTTAATAACATATCACGGAACTAGCCTCAGTAACTTAGCATGGCAAACTACCCAATTGGTTTAATTACAATAAGGCTGTCTCTAAGCTATTTCAGTCTATGATGATGAGTTCTTAGGGCCATAATTTACGCTGGTTTACGCCGGTTAGAAGACCTAGTTGAGATACCTAGGTACTTAATCATTCCGATTGCACCGAAACAATTATTAATCACAATCCTTGTGCAAGAGCCGCAAAGCTTATTTTGATGACAAGCCATTTATGCAAGCGCATTTCACAATACGCATCTTGTAAAATTAGGGTGGGAGGAGATCAACGACGAGAGCGTACCTGGAAAGATACTTTTTAGATATCACTCTGGTGATGGTCTATTAGAAACGTATGATATCGTTACAGAAGGTATAATGCCTATGTCAAATTGTTAAACTGAAACATCGGGATGCTTTAATCAGGTAATTATATATCGAGTGAAGATGATTCAGATGTCGATTTAATCTATCGACAGTACCTCATATGTACCTGATATAAGCAACTATAAAGACTTGGTCGACAAGACGAAAGTACTGCCGTATTAACTTCTCGGGGTCTAGGTTTCACACGGTAGGTTTACGATATAAGTTGGATATATTCCTAGGGGCTAGCATGTCACACATACCATCCATGATAATGATATGTTCAGTCATATTTGGGCAAATCTGTTAAATAAATCCGACCATATTATCTACAGGCATGCTAGCAAATACAAAAAGGTACGCAAGGTTGAATTTATCAATTGCAGCTACGTAGACGCGTCGAGCGCATTATGTACCAAAGTATACATTCGCTACCCACAAACCTTTTCACCAAATTTCTACAGTCTTTCCTCTTTTCAACCCAACGCCAACACCAACATACCACCCTCAAACACCAATATCTACAAACGCCAGCGTCATCACATCAGCAACAATGGTTGACAAATTTTCTCGGGTTAGTGATGGTAGCAATACCGTCGACGGCGTCGGCGATACCCGCATGAGTAACGTGGCGGTTCCCTTGGGCGAGTGTCCAGGGGTTGGAGGAGTGAAGATTCACCTTCCCCGGCAAAACCGCAACGCCTCAGTGGAGGATATGAAGGAAGCGACCGTAGGAGAAGACAGCGAATTCGGCAACAATGGCACCGCGGGCCCTGCTAAAAGAGGCGACCAAACTGCGTCGAACCCGCAGTCCTTCCTGAATCCCTCCGAGGATTTGCGGCGCGCCGCACCAGGCGTCACTTGGGTCACAAGTGAAGAAGTCTGGAAGGAATATGACAAGGAAGACGACAAGGGCCTTTTGTTTAATAGCATACGAAATAGGGCGAGACTGCGCCGCGGATTTATTGAATATAAGGGCACAGTAGCAGTGTGGAAAGGCTGTCCTAAGATCGAGGAGTGGGCGAAGAAGGAAAACCTCAGACCTAACGATAAGGTCCATATTACTATGTCAATAGTCCCTAAGGAGATACAACGTAGTGCTGCCACGAAGCCGATACCTGACACAGTCGGTCCTCTGCAGTTACCCTTACCCCCTCTACCCCCTCGACAACCACCACAACCACCACAGCTACAGCCACCACAGCAGCAGCAACAACAACAACAGCAGCCACAGATGCGCCCTCATCAGGACGATCCAATCTGGCAGGAATTTCAGAGATTCCGGGAGTTTCAAAGATTTGAGACTTTCCGGCAATGGGAACAGGCCGATCAAGATCAACAATCTGTGCGGGAATCCACCACGGGCGACCGTCAATATCATACAGAGCCTCGGCGCTGGAGAGGTCGCGATCGCGGTGGCCGTCGTAGCCGCCGTGCTGGCTTCAGAAGATAAGATATGGAGTACGTTTGGGAGATTGAAAGCGGGTTGGAATAAGACGGAAGAGTCTTAGCCGGTGACGGGAAGAGTTTATAATAATACTTGGCTTAGCTTAGCTAGGGTATTAATGCGCTTTAACGTCTAAATAACAATGAATCCACGGTTCAGATACAGTTGTTATCCCGTGATAATCAGTATGGCGATATTTTCGAATGATCCGTAACCACAGCTTCGATAAAAAGCATTTCCTCCAACTCCTAATTGCTGAAATTGAGCAGGATAATCTCTAAGATTTAAATCGTCAAAGTAACTGCTTGACATAAATATCTGTCAAGGATCAGTAATGTAATAACCATTTAATGGTGCAATGGTACGTTCGACACCAGTAATATTTGGCTAGGGAGATCACTTATATGATATGCTCAAGATTGGTGAAGAAGCGAGAGCCTGGATGAAGCGCGTGAATTTGAACTCGGATGATGAGGACGTATACTGAGTATAGATGCCGATCAGTTATACCACGGAACCATACGCGATGATAACTACGAACTTAGACTTTATACTACGAATTAGTTTAAGAGTGGAAAGCAAATATGGACTTTAAAATTATTTTTTAATCATTAATCAAGGAGCGGTACTAATCTATTTCTCATCCCACATGATGCTTAGCACTTCGGCGGCGTCACTCCTAAACCTCCCGTAACATCCGTCGTGGTGATGGATACTTCATTTGGTAGCGTTAGCAATAACAAGATTTAGCCCTATCAGCGCTATCCCTATATTCGGGATGATTGAGGTGGCTATTAGTTTCCTCCATGTATCTGTCCATTCTGTAGCCACGCGAGAAGCGAACTTTCAGGAGCTCTCGGTATAGCTCTAGGGAGTCGTCCAGCGTTCCTCCACCTCCTATGTAGATCCCCAGGAAAGTTGTCTAATGGGTCGCCTAAACTAGAACTTTCAAACCCGCACAAGAGGCGCTTCTCCCGTATCCGCATATCTTGTAATAGTAAAGGTAGGCGGAGGTTTGTTAAGTCACTCCAGTCTTTTGGCGCGTCCTTTCCGAAGCGCAAGTTTGAAACTACCTTATACCAATCATCCATATCAGAAACATTGGGAATCCGAGATCGTTAACATCCCTAAAAGCTTGTGTAATCGCTTTTAGGTGGTCGTTCGTTACGGCGTATAGCCGGAACTCTGCCTCCTCCTCTTGAGAGGCACGGCTTCTTCGTCCCGAAATCGGTCTTCGAGTAGAGCCAAGACCTGACCTTCCCCAGGGATTTCCAGCCCATTATGACGTACCAGTCCTGAATGAGTTTCGACGTCGAAATGGAATAAAAGTAAAAGAAGGACACTGTAGTAGCTTGAAGGTATGTTGGGATATTTTGTAGAGGACTATGAGCTGTGTAAGCCAATGAGTTAGACACAAAGCGAAGGGAAAGATACTGCTTACCAGTATTACGATACATGCTGAGTTTCGGGTTAAATTGTATAGCTGCAGTTATCCGGGTCGAAGATTGAAGTAGAATTGTTGGATTTTAGAGTAGAGTTGTAGGATTGAAGAGTTTAGAGTTGAAGAGTTGAGGAGTTGAAAGTTTGAGAGGGGCAGAAAAGGTTGAAAAAGTTATTACTGCCGTAAGGGAAGTAATTTCCTACTTATGATCGTAGTTGTAACTGTAGTTGTTGTAGTTACAGTTGCAGTTGCAGTTGCAGTTGCAGTTGCAATTGTAATTGTAGCTGTTATTAGAGTTGCATTTGTACTTAGTTGCGGCTGTAGTTGCAGCTGTTATATACACAGTTGCTAGTAATTACCCCCCTAAGTTTAAATGGGACACAAGTAGTTTCAGCTTATGCATCTCTGTCGATAAACTTCAAGTAGGCCCTTCCCTAGAAGCGCGTGTGCTGGAGTATCACCCGAGTTACAATTGCCAAGGTTGTTGCTAAGGGGACCTAGGTTACATACACCCAGTAAGAGGTAACAAAAATTTGATTCGCGCCTCCTGTATATTGTTGTGGGAGATTATAGTCTATTTTGCGACATTCGCTAACAATTTTGTCGGTCATCTGGGTCTCTAGTCAGCTGTTAAGGTCTTCTATTGAACAAGTGGAACTATTGCGATTATATCCTAACCGTTTAGAATCGGTATTTAACGCGGATGGTACACCGGACGGTTAGAAGTAGATCCTAAAGCCCCGGAATAGTTTTTAGCTATGCTTTGCTAAGAATTCGCTCGACTTCTTCAGTTACCCCTTACCATGTTAGAGTATGATAGTTTATGCCAGTGGCCTTTTCTTGTACCGACAATGCAATTTTGTTGACTTAACAATGAGACTTAGAACCTCCGATGTATTATCAACTCTTATTCAAGCTTAAAGCCTTCGAATTTAGTTGATGATGTACACCTTTCTACTGGCACCCTATCATGGATAGTTACTCAATGTATCCCATACCTAAATACTAGATTTCAATTAAATCTTTTACGTCATTCTTAAAGTTGAGTTGCCAATTAGCCGGCGAATATGATTGATACATCCTCACTGTTATACCGACGGCTTTAAAAGGGAATATACTACTGCCTTTCGCATTCTATTCCGGCGTGGCTATCTGTACCCTAACTATTAAGGCTACCATATCCAATCCTACCTGACTTTTAATAATAAACTCCATCTATAACATGTTAGCATTTCGATATTCGAACCGTCTTGAAACAGGCCGACGAGGTTCGGCTCGGGCTTCGAAATTTCGTGTATAACTCAACTTACTATATCCAGTTAGAACTTAGTGGACATATGAGAGGGGATGCATTAGGCATTTACATACCATTCTGAAGTCTTTTGGAGTAGTTTTACAAATTCCCCGGCGATAATCTCGTCTGTCAAAATTAATACTTTGAAGCTAGCTGTATGATTATACGACGTACCTGCTTTCGACGATGGGTGTAGCTCGTCGTACCTTCGGCAAGTTAGTACGTTATCTCTGGCCGATTGTAGGCTCTCACCATAAAAAGCTAGAAAGCGAATTCTTAGAAGTCGTGCAGGTTACGTTATTTGATGCCGTGACGGGACATCCGTAATATGGCGCGCTCGAGTTTGCGGGTGCGTCCAGATATGCTGAGGGGTTGCTGTTGATATCCAAGAAGAGTTGGTGGACGTTTAGGATGCTAAAGGAGGCACCTGGCCACCTGTCTTCTACGAGGAGGTGAAACGGTACGCCGTAGGAGAATATCTTATTCACGCTGGTTGTGTATTCGAGCATCTTTTGCTCGATTTCGGTTGTGTTGTAGGCTGTTTTATTTGACCAATACCGAGTATCGCCTACTCCTCCGTTCTGGGGCGAAGCGTAGAGTGGTGACTTGTCCAGAGGTGCTTCGGTGAATAATACAAAGCGTCGGCCTCCCGTGCTGTATACGGCGTCGAAAACGGACCAGATGCAGTCGGTGAAGTTTGGAATGGTTGCCCCGCGCTTCTGAGAGTCCGTGAGAAATCCCTTATTCCCTAGATCGTTAGTACCTATCCAAAGAGCATAGACGGTGTTATACGGCTTCCTATTCGAAAGAAAGGTGCCGTTTCCCTTGCCTGAGGCGTATTTCACGTCTGCTAGGAATGCGGGTATTTCGTAGTCGATAACAGACGGGTAAGGTCCGTGAATAGATTCGAGATAACGGTATACTATCTCGTTAGAACAGGTAGCACCGCTAACTATTGCAAATCAGCAACGTATTCGACACTATAGATGTCTACGGTGGATATCATGTATCCAGTTCTCACCCGCGTAATTGTACGTCGTAGCACCGAGCTGCTGCGAAGCAAAGTGAGGCCATGTATAACCGCCGCTAGCAGTCATATTCGATGTAGGGATGCCTGTACCTGCTGGGGGTGACGTGCCATTGTGAGCTTGTAAGTATGCCAATCTGCCTTCGTCAGAGTAGCTATCGCCGAATACGACTAGGTTTTCAACTGCTTGAATGACGCGGATGGGTGTGCCGGTTGCGATGCTAGGTAGCAAGAAAGCTAGTAGACGCGTCGTGTAAAGCAACGTCTTAAGCATCGTGTATTCTCGATTTTCTATAAAGGCATATATGGTAACCCAATTGAGCTATACTAAATACTAACACCAACCGAGCGCCTCAATTGACTAAGATATGGACACGGGTTCTATTAGACATGTAGCCTGATGTAGTGCTTTAAAAGGAGAATATCAATTCTTCCAATCCCCATCAACGGGGTTAGCTGTGGCTATATATAACCTGGTGACGAGCTAGATTGCTAACATACCCATCACGTATATAGGTGGCCGGATACCTGCTTATACCAAAGCATGCATTAATACCTATTTTAAAAGGCTTCTCGGTAATTTCGGCCTATCAAACCCGGTCGACACCCGTATTAGTGCTAGCTACTAGCTATCACATTTTCCTAGGCGGGGATATACGGTAGTCAGTGCCAAGAAGATGCGGAAAAACTATCGTGGTGAATGATACGGACTATTACGGCTGGACAAAGAAAGTCGCTGATTGATTTCCCAGTTAGGCTAATATTTCTTGCTGGGTCCGTTTTCGTAAGAAATTTATGAGGGGAACCCCGACGGATTTCGGGCTAATGACGCGGCGATGTGACTATGTTCTGCAGGCTATAAGCTGTCGCAAGCTACGGGGAAGCAGGCAATATTAGCTAGTAAGGATTTGGGGTATGGATCAGAATAACTCCGACTGGGGTTGCTAATAGCTTGGTACCGCTAAAGCGTTCGATGCTACCCTGTAGTACTAAAGCCAAAGTCGAGGTAATCCCAGAGCTATTCATATATTAACCATTCAATCATTGGATAATCCCATGCAACGAATAGCTACACCTTTCGCGTGTTAATATACGAGCCTATTTCAACTACGCGTCAGCTTCCTATATTGGATGAATTTATCTTTGTAAGCTATACTTACCAACTCCCAACATAATTGCAATATCTTCAACTGACCGAGTATCACGAGGTAGACCAAGAAGAGACAACTTCTTTACTCTGCGAGAAACTGTAAACTACCTATGTAGCTATATGAGTCTAATTCTATAGAGTGCTCTTTTTTCTATATGTCCCATCTAGAATCTGTTATCATATTATTGGTGTGGTGTGTTGAAATGAGTGGTCAAGGGACTACTCTCAGGTACAGTACATGGTATCTTGGCATGGAATGTATATATAAGAAGGACCTCCCTCCTCACTCATACAGTTGGTAGATTAAGTCAATATACAACTACAGCTCATATACCGTATCTTTCAGCATGGTGATTTGTTGACATATCCGACGCTGAACGATGGGCATCAATACAGCTGGTGTTAAGAGATAAAGGTCCGTCCTTTGAAAAAGCTATCTAGAACGCACCTAAAATACCAGTTTAAAGCCGTTAAAAATATAAGCAAATTATCGAAGCATCATCATAAACAATGTGATAGTATGTATCTCAAATATTAGGTACGCATCTAAGATAAGAATATCCGGGAGGTTTATTATAAAATCAACGCTTTACATACAAATCAAAGGACCTTGATCCGCTACGATTGTTGGCTGCCATCTGCTAGGTCCATACTTTCAACCGCTCTAGCAGCATCGCTCTCAGGGACAGAGATATTTATAAAAGCCTGCTTCCAAAACATCCAACGTCCGAAAGAAAAAACCATTTCACCCTCAAATCGTCTACTACGATGCAGACGCTGGTCTTCCTCGTCAGGACTGTCTTCAACCATTAACCAGTATAATTTGTCAGCCGAGTAAATCATCCACTGTGCGGCAGTTACTTGGCGGCATATCGCAACCATGTCGTCCGGATCTTGATCATCCTCTAACGCGTGGCGCAGAGCCTGGATCCCAAGACCATAGAAATTGACATGATCGTCGTTATACAGTCGAGAGACGAATGCGTTCAGATTAACCCATTCACTGAATGCCTCATAATTGTCTTCGTCGCTTGTAGGTTCTTTATACTAAGTTAGTAAATCGTGAGAATAAACTCGAGTCAAGGACGAGGTCGCTTACCAAGCCAGATTTTTCCTATGCCTGCGCTGAGCCCTGGTAGGTCATGCCAGACATTTACAGTAGACTATTTGTAAAATGATTAGTCGCAAACCTGGGGACCGCACAAAAGTTCTTGGGTCACATACCTCGTCAGGCGAGGGGAGGCTACTTAGCCCGTCAACTAATGTTACGAAATTATCTTGGTTCGTGTCATTGCATGCAATTTGCTTGGTGAGCTTGAGAAAAGTCCGCCAGAATCTACGGAAGAATGTAGTGTCTGATTCAAGTACTTGCTGAGGAGTTTGGTGTCTTGTTGATGGTCTAAGGCTAGCCAGACCGATCACGGCACCCTGTAGAGAGTCGCTGGACGTGTCGAGGCAGGTGATGAGGATATTACGGATGCCCCAATCGAGTTGTGAAACATTATCGCCGCGTAGCATTAGCGTAGGTAGGGGACCGACGGCGTAGTTATCTTGGTTATCTTGGTCATCCATGGCTTGCTTGATCGAAGAGATCTTATGCCTAGGAAATTGGTTTATGTTAAGGTATAGGACAGGACATTGCGGCTGGAAATGGCTTGTTATATAGGTAGGCTTTGCTATAGTTACTAGAAAATATTTAGGATGACCAATTTCAGTGATTATCACGGATCATTATTTCGGTCCTATGTCGTATCACATACTCAGGAGGTCATGGCAAGGTCAATGCTTCCGAATATGACAGCAGGGTATATTTTATTATTCAATAGAAAGCCCTTAATTCAATATTATCTTAATATAATTCAAAGGCGCAAGTAATCGTCTGGAGATTATGGCTTGACGTGGAAAATCTCAAAGTAATGTGACCTCCTTGAATATAGACAAGTTAACCCTTCGAGTCGGTTGTAATTTTCCAAGCCTTAGGTCTTACGAAGATTCGTAGTTGGCTACCGATATCAAAATTCATATTTCAGGTGCTGAAAGATACGGTATATGAGCTGTAGTTGTATATTGACTTAGTCTGCCAACTGTATGAGTGGGGAGGGAGGTCCTTCTTATATATACATTCCATGCCAAGATACCATGTACTGTACCTGAGAGTAGTCCCTTAACCACTCATTTCAACATCAAGTACTCGACCCTAACACTCTACCGTAATGTATGCGTTTGGATATTCAAGTCTTTGAAAGATACGTGATTTAATACTTGGCAGACTCAACTTTCATACCCGTTTACGGAATTCAAACAGAGCCGCTAATATCAGATTAAGTCTTATCCCATTTAAAGTAAACGGAACGTAGGACGTGGTAAAGTTAGCCACAGTAGAGGCTCAATGCTATTAGATATTAGGTAGAAATGTGTGAGCTAATAGTCCATCGATGAAAACTCCCAAGACCTATCTAGTTCCAAGCAAGAAGACTTCTGATCAGTACTCGCAATTCATTCCTAAGTTAATGAGATTATGACACTACCCCGGAGAGTTGCTAACCTTTCGGCTACTAATTTCACCCGATATAGCATTAGGTAGGTCATAAAAGTTTCAAACTATCCTTGAGTAGTATGGACCTTGCAATATGATTTCAACACCCCTTCAAGTCTACACGGGGTTTTATACAATTATCAATGATGAAAGTCAAAGAGTTTTAATAAATCATAGAATCGATTAAATACTTATGATCAAGGAACTCAAGTAAAAACTAACCTCCTCCGCTAGAAACTTCAAACTTGCTACCAGTAATTAGGAAACCGAGAATCCCCAATAACCTGGTATGCAAGGTTAGAATGTCGGAAAGATCTCTTACATACCACCAAGATCTTCGTCAAATGACTTTAGTAGATGCATAATTTCCGACAAACCGGCATCGCCATCGGCATTAGACATATACGTATACGCAGTATAGGGTTGGTCAAATCCGTCTTCCGAGCGGTTATTAAACTCAACTTTCCAATAGATCCAGCGAGCTAAAGTAATGATAGTCCTGCCGTAGCATTCCGGATTTTCAAGAGTGATATACCCTCCGCCAGGGTAGAAGACCTGTCGGTGTCTATTGGAAGTTCGCGTCAGATGAAATAATTTAGGGGCCGAATAAATCATCCATTGCGCGGCAGCGTCGGTATAGCATGCCTTCGCTCCCCACGAGGGATAAAAGTCAAGTTCAAATGCGTCGCGCACGGAAGTAATCCCAAGGTCGTACCATTCCGAAGTATTGAACCTGGCATAAAACCGAGCGGCAAATGCATTCAGGCTGACCCATCTTTGATAAAATATACCATTTTCACCTCCAGTCATTGGTCCTAATATAACTATTTAGTATTCAATTCTCGTATGCGTTAGGATTAAATATATCTTACTACGCCAAAGATCGCGGACCAAGTAGTCGAATTCTGGTAGTGTAGACCAAGGGGGTATTTCTGGCTGCGTAGAAACCTGATTAGTCCTAGTATTCAAGATATTTACAAATATGGATTTATCGACAAGCACTTACACTGTGGGCTGGGAGAGACGTCAAATGCCAAATTATTTCCACCAGTTTTCGTTGGCCATCATGATCGTACGGTAATTGGCGGACAATTTCAAGAAAAGCTAGCCAGAATCGACGGTGAGATCTTGATATACCTGCGGGAAGCCTTCTTGAACGTTCCACCGGCGTACGATCTAGATCGTGCGCAGCTTCAAGGGGTTCGGTGCCAAGGAAAATGCATTTCTTAAGGGCTTCGAAAACGTGATGACCCTCTACTGTCTCAAAGGCGTCAGAGGGTGTAAAAAAATCCTCTACTACCTCGACGGCATCAGGGGGTACAAAATAACCCTCTGCTACCTCGAAGGCATCAGGGGGTGCAAAAGAATCCATTGGAGGCGAATATCAGGGAAGGTAAATAAAATAGTTCAGTACCTTAGGTAGATAGAGACGCTAGAGTTTTGGATAATGTTGTGGATGTTGTCATGGGTGCTGTGTTGGATTTGGGAAGAACAAATTATCGATTCTTAGGAGAGCTATTTATATAGCAACCCAAGGCTTCTTAACGAAGCTAATTTTGGCCATTCACATCACCAGGTAACTTGAGGAACTCCAGCTCCTATAACAATGAAGTGAAGTGTCACTCACCTCCTGTTAAGCGCAGAAACCTCAGATAAGGAAATTACTTGAATCAAGACCTTCAATATGTTAATAGTCACGATCATGAGGTGGTCAATACTGAATATGGTGTAGATATCGGACGAATTTAAGAAATACCTGGGTATTCTACAGTCGTGAAAAGTCACTCGTGATTAATGAAGAAATCAGAGGCGCCTGAGACGAATTGAAATGGTGAATGAATGACACGTAAACATAATATCTAGCACGAATGATATTATCAAGAATACTACCAATATCAGTCTTAACACGATTATTCTAGTTATCAAGTAAAGACGTTGAAAATAAGGCCGTTGTCAAAAATGTCACGTGCTATGCCCCCTATAATTTATACCTCTTATAATTGCTAAGTGGTTAGGAGACTGCTGCTAGGCATATGTTTCATTGCGAGTGAGACGCAATAATATGATCGAATTATTCAAATCTTTAGTTTGGTCCTTAAGATGGTATCTTTGTGTATTCCAAGTCATAGTTGTCACGAGGTAGAATCAAACATGGAAACATATTTGTTGCTCCTCGAGGAACTTTAACTATGGGAGTAGCTATATACTGAACATGTCCTTTGCCCTAGATGTTCCATATATAATCCGACAGTAAGTCCTTCACACGGGCTAAATTTGCAGTCTTGTCTCGTTCGCAACTGACCACGCCGTATAGGGCGGTTAAGTGATAACGTGTATATATCGGGATGCTCGACACTTATGTATTAAAAGGCTCTACTAAATTATCCTAGTTATGCGCCGTTTTTAGCAGTAATACAGCTCTGAAAGCCCCCACCATCCAATTCAAAGAAGTATCAACAACCTCTAATAATAAAGTGACTAGTTTCAGTTTCGGCGTAAAACAGCCAATATTCTCAAATTACTCTAATAGGTCTTTAGATTCACGTAGGATTGCATATCAAGTACCTACCCAATCACCCACGCCGCGTTGCGTAAGATTGCCGAGATGGTGGCGCCCGCCGTAAGACAAATTCGTAATCTGTACCGATACGACCTTGTTATGCAGGCTAGGTAAATAGGACACAATCTCACGTCGCTCGGGCGATGGATGGGACAACATGATATGGCCTGGGCATACTTGAAGACATGCGTATTAGTCTGTAATGATACGGCCTATGGAATAATCTACGTGATTCCGAGTAGCAATCGGGCCTCTCAGCGTCGACGGGGTGTTCCAGCGGCTGTGCCGTTGTACAACCACACAACCATTCCTTTTCGGTGACTTGGCTGCTGACTTAAGAATAGAATATGCGAGTAATATATTAATTCCCGGCCTTGCGCATATTATCTAAGTCTAGGGCTCTTGTTGGACTTGATTGATGGTTACTTGCGTCTGACAAAACTTCCGCTAGGAATATCTCATGCTCGCTTACCATGGCTAACCTGGAGACGTCAGTGCATATCGGTGTCTGGTTCATGGTCGGAGTATCTCTCTTAGCCCTCGTGTTGAGACTGTATTGTCGACTGTCTAGGAGGCGGCCGTTATGGTAAATCTCATGTATCGTAAACTAAATATCGGATCGTTTCTAATGAGATTTCTAGGTGGGATGACTTTGTTCTCGTGGGTGCTTGGGTGAGATATCTCTGTTAGACGAACAGGCTTAACAATGAACGGATGCTGACAGTGATCTGGTAGGTAATGGCAGCGATTGCTGGTGGTTTTATCAGCGCGTTCGCCTCTCCAGGTTCCGGAATTTCTATCGCGAGCGATGATAGGGTCATGACGTACTTCAACATATGCTCTGTTTTCTGCGGATTCGCGTCGGCCTGGTCCAAGTCCTCGTTTTCTCTAACTCTGTTACGTCTCGAGAGCGGTCGGGCGAGATATTTCCTTTGGTACGCTCTTGTCACGATTAATGCCTCGTACCTTTTATACGTGGTCACGGCTTGGAATAAGCCTTGTGGTGCCAAGGGCAGGGATGACTTGTACATTCCCGGGCCTTGTTGGAGCTCTACTGCTAAGATGGCCGTTCCTCTTTCGGTTGTAGGTATGTTTGCCCGTTTCTTTCGCGCTTCCTCGTCTTAGCTAGAAGACTAAATGACTGGTCTAGTATATTCGGCGGCGATGGACTTCACTCTCGCTTTTTTCCCTTGGAGAATCGTATCGAAGACTCAGATGGTAAGAAAGGAGAAGATAGGAGTTGCGCTAGCCATGAGCTTTGGCGTCCTGTATGTCTTACTCTTCTATAGCTCTTATGTGCCGTGGATGATGCTCGCTGATGCCATTAGAACAGCGCCGGCGTGATAGCGATTAAGAGGGCTGTGAATATGACAGGGATGGACTCGGTAGCATCGTTTACTTACTTTTGTGAGCAACCTCCAGCCGCTTTACGTGTTCGACTTATTGCTAATCAGTTGTGGCGAAGATGGGAGATGCATTCAATGCGTTTATAACTTGGCTGAGCCGTGCGTAAGTATCGTAGCACAAACGATCCCTAATCTGCGAGTTCTTGTCGTAAGAGATAAATCATCTCATCCTCCCCACCGCGTGATTACGCTCCCTACTGCTTTTCGAAAAGGCTCGGGCACGAAGGGCGTGTCCAGGGAATGGAGATGGCCAGGTTTCGATAACGATAGAGATTCAGCAAAGGACTTGCGCAATTTCGCAATGGTAGAGGATGAGACCCATCAAGTGTGAGGGTCATCTGTTGATTCTTACTGGGAATCTAGAAGTTGGTTTTCTGTAATAGCTAGGTGGCTTCACAAGACGATTTACGCGACCACCACCTCTTGTAAGAGCAGCGGGGACCTCGAAGGTAGTAAATGAGACAATCCACATACCTTTGGTATCCATATCTTTTTAGTATTCTATTAGATGCGAAATGAGGGTTGAAATTCATATCCATATGAACTCTACTTCAGGACTGGGTATAAGAACTACGTGCTGAGGATAGTGTTAGACAACGGTTTAGTCACCTATATAAAAAGCTAACCTCCTCGTAAATGCTACGCTCCTCGGTACCGTCTACCTGATACTCTAATGAAATATTATCTACGTCGACGAAACCAAGATTTCTATAGAACGGAGCTGCTTCGAGAGTACTCTCTAGATACGCGGGAGCGCCATCTTTCCTTGAATGCTCTATGCCCCATCGGACCATCATCGTTGCTGCACCGCGCCTCTGGTATGCGGGATCAGTTCCCATAAATGTAAGTCCTGAAGGGCTTCTCAGTCTGTAACCCCTTTCATTAAAAAATGATACGTATACCAAATGCTACTTACGATAACACGGCGTATTTCCTAAGGCGCGTGATTGAGCTGCCTCGGTCTTCTTGGCCCAATCGTTAAGAATGTCGAGGTTTGTTCCTGTTGGCCAAATCCACGGGGGCTCGACGTAGTCTTCGTCAAGTCGTACGGGGTGCGACCACTTTGCGAACGCTATAACTTGCTCCTTTCTTCGACGCTCATAAGTTTGTTCGTTGTCGCCTGATATGGTACTGTTATTATGAAGTTCCGAGCTGGAATCGCGGACGACAAGGACGGTAGTTTTCAGGTCGTCAATGTCGGCAAGCGCTTTCAATTCGATGCTCTTCTTTAGAGCGTTCCGAACGGCCGGTGTGGGGAACTGTGCTAGGAGCATCGCGTTCGAACCGAAAGCGGCCATGTGGATCTCGGCGATGCGGGCGGCATCCGTGAGTTCGGCAACGCTTAAGGATAATGGCATTCTGTATGTACTTTGCAGTGACGTCGGAATACTCTTACAGCAACCTCTTCGGTACCTCGCTTTTCTGCGGCAGGAATGAGGTCCAAGTATTCAATCATGGCCAACCAACGCTAGGTAATCCGTCATTTCAAAATGATGAGAAGTAGCACTACGAATTTCCTTGGGGATTTTGGTGGTATATCAAAACCTATTAAGTGCATATATTATATTAACGCGATATCAACCCCTGCAGCGACTATTCTATGTCTGGGGAATTGCCGAGGCTTGTAACGTTAGACCCACTGAAGCTTAGGTTGCGATATCCACGAATCTTTAATAACTTCAAGACATATACATGAACATATACGTGAACGCGTCTTTTAATATAATTGACTATCACCTCCTCATTATGATACTTACATATAAATCATAATTTGATCCTGTTTAGTAGCGTTTCGCCTATGAGATGAATCACTTCGCGCCGTTCTCTTACTCGAAATGGTGCCGACATTCTTAGAAGCCACCGCCGTCAGGGCTGTAGATTCTCATACATACTCTGCAAACTTCAAATCGGAGTGGTGCGTAGGCTCTGGTTAGTATCTCCGCTTTTGCAGCCATTCCAATTCTGATTTAATCGATGCGACATAGTACCCCACGGCGGCGTGGTAACATCAATCTTTCTTCGTGTCGCTGCGACTCATTTTCGCACGACTCTTGCGGCACAGAATCAGCCGCACACGGTATCTCTACATATCGAGTTTCTACGCCGAACTCAGGAGGGCTCAGCTACTCTGGTAGTCCGTGATGTTAAGCTCGGCCGCCAGACATCAACTATCCATATCACTCTGTCGCAGGAGGGTCGCGAGGAGGTCGTAGGATATCTTACTCACTCGAACATGGCTACCGAAACCGGACTGTCCCTCAAGACCTTGTGGTCGTTATACCCATCGTCACCGTTGCGCCCGACTAGCTTCCCCGCGCTTCTCGAAAGCGGTAAGGAAGTTAGCTGGGTCGAGCAGACGAATAAGCCGTTTGCGAAATTCCGCAAGGTGTCTAACCGCGTACGTACCTTTCTTCCGCGGAACGGTCAGGTGGCACCGGGTCTAATCGATCAATGGATACGCCTTGAATCGGGAGAGAGGTTCACAAACGAAAGTCTAGGCTTCGTAGCAGATCACTTCCCCTCCATCGTCGATAGTTTGTGGCGTAGAGAAGAGAGAGGGGGTCGTCCGCCGGCCTTCTGGTATCCTACCGTAGTCCTTAATTTAGACGTCAAGAAGGCTTTGCCACCCGAGGGTGTCGAATGGTTATTCTCGCGTGTGCGGGCAAAGTGTATTAAGAATGGAAGGATGGATCTTGAGGTTGTTATTATGGATGAGACCGGAGAAGTTGTGGCGCTAAGTCATCACGTCGTCTTAATGGTAAGTGCGGAGAGAAATATGGCAGGACGGAGAACAGTAGAACCAAAAATTTAAGTTTGTTAGTTGGTAACCGATGTCGAGGATGTAAGAATGATTTCATAATTACAATACCATGCCTCTTTTACATCGTACCTCTATTTTGACCTAATCTTGCCAATATGTGTTGGATAATAGATGATTGATTGAATAAAATCTAATGATACAATTATTATTATTTTTTTACAAACACTCATCTATGATGAGCGTTTGGATGACACGTGACCTTCGGTCACGTGTTGAGATGTACTTAGGTACATCTCACAATATGTACCTACCGCGGATCGAGTAAACTTGAGCTTATGCAAGTACACTATCAATACGTCAGGGTCCGCACGTGGTACACAGTACAATTTAGAATGGCAACTGTAATTTAGAAGGTATTGAATTGTCCAATCATCAACAGAGAATCTTGAATTTCTTCGGTATCCCGGTAGGTTGCGGATTCCGTAAACCAGGGGTCTGCATATGGTTCCTGACATCTACAACATAATTAATAATACCTAGCTAAACTTGCCTTTTCATTGAACCTAGTTGCTTACCTGCCTCCTTAGGTATTGAGACCGTTCCCTTACCAATAATTATCCAGATTACCATGTTACGAATAAACTAACAGTGAAAGTCTCGTCGCTATTCTTGCATCAATAGATTATTTTGTCTTATTCCATTTCTTTCTAACTTTTTCTTGTCGCTCGTTATAGTTAATTCTACATTCAAAACCATCCAATGGCTGAAGCTACCCCCGTTGCCGCAGCTCCCGCTGCTCAGCCAGCCACAAAGGATGTCTTACTCCTCGCCAAGGGTGTTTCTTTATCCCTAACAAATATTTCGTTAATCGTTAAAGGTGTTTAATACCGTTAACCAGCGAGTCGTTTGACTGAAGCTAACATCTCTTCGTGATGCTCTAGACAAAAACCACGCCAAGCAACACCGAAAGAAGTTCTGCGGCATTCCCGTGGGCAGTATCCCTACTGAATTTTCGATTCCTCTTTACAATATCCTCTGGGCCGAGGTCGTCGCCGAACACTTGATCCTTGACTATGCGGACCCGGTATCTAAGAAGCACCTCCGCGCCGTCAAGTTATCTTACGCGCTTGGCGAGACCGTCCCCGATGTGGTAGACGCGTGGGTTAGCATGGTTCTCGAACAGGCGTACGGGACCGCTCAGCGCAATAAGCGTGCCAAAGTATTGGTCAACCCTCATGCGGGACCCGGAGGTGCCGATAAGACGTGGGAACACGACGTAAAGCCGCTATTCGAAGCGGCTCGCATGCCGCTAGACGTAGTGCGGACAAAATTCTCGGGCGAGGCCGTCGGAATCTGCGAACAGCTCGATATCGATGCGTACGACATCGTAATCCCTTGCTCGGGTGATGGGTTGCCGTACGAGTGCATAAACGGCTTGGGGAAACGACCCGACGCGCGTAAAGCCTTGCACCAGGTGGCTATAGCGCATATACCATGCGGCAGCGGGAACGCGATGAGTTGCAACTTGAATGGCACGCACCGGCCGAGCTTCGCGGCACTCGCCATCATCAAGGGAGTAAGAATGCCGATGGATCTGATGAGCGTTACGCAAGGGGATAAGCGAATGCTTAGTTTTCTGAGCCAGTCGGTTGGCATTATAGCGGAATGCGACTTGGGAACGGAAAACCTGCGTTGGTTAGGTGCCGCGCGGTTTAACGTCGGGCTCGTGCAGAGGATATTCAGCAAGAAGCTGTACCCGTGCGACATATCGATGAAGGTAGAGATCCCGGAGAAGGCGGATATCAAAGCGCACTACAAGCGCGAGCGCAATGGAAGCGACCATACTACGCGGAGAGAGAACGGTGTTACGAAGGAAGCATCCTCAGCGGGAGAATCTACCTCGAGCGAGACAGATTCGGGAGAGGGTTTACCACCGTTAAGATTTGGGACGGTAAATGACAAAATTCCCGACGACTGGGAGACGGCTTCGTATGATAAGCTTGGGAATTTCTATTGCGGAAATGTGAGTTGAATGGCGTTCCCGCCGAAAAGACATCTCGATCTCTAACTCTAGACAGATGGCGTGGATGGCTCCGGATGCCAACTTCTTTACGGCGGCGTGCCCCAACGACGGGATGATGGATGTCGTATTCAACGACGGCGATATCTCGGCGGCCAAGTATCTCGAGCTGCTAACGTCGGTCGAGAACGGTCGGTTGTTTGACAACCCTCACGTATCGTACCGGAAAGTTGTCGCCTATCGTTTCACACCTCGCAATCAGAAAGACGGCTACATTAGCATCGACGGCGAGCACGTCCCATTTGAGCCATTCCAGGTTGAGATTCACCAAGGATTGGGCACCGTATTATCGAAGAATGGGAAGTACGAAGCAGCCGGTCCGGCTGGCTGGGAGAAAGCCATTGTATAAATTTGAAGCGTGCGTACGAAAAGAGAGTAGCAAGCAGGTTATGTGATACCCCCAGCGTAGAATTAGATATGTATATTCGTCTTTGAGCAATACGCGCACGGCTTATACTGCGCCTTAGGTATGTTTAATGAACTAGGACTTTTGGTGGTCTTGAACAAGAATGATTCGATTCCCGAGGCAATACGTTAACCCTGGATATATCCATCCGCATAAACGCCCGAACTCCAAACCCTACCACGTTTGCATTCCCGGCAGTATATAACCCGAAGTTTGGGTTACGACTCAGTCGTCGAATCCGTCCCAGCTGTCCCCGTCGCCCTTGTCAACGTTCATCTCTTCCTCCGACGATGTAATTCTATTCCAAGGCAGCCTCTCGTCGGACAGAGATTCCTTAGCTCTGGATCGTACAGGTTGGCAAGCAGACTTTGATTGCACCTCTACGATAGTCCGTAACCTGTCCAGAAACGTATCGGAGTCCTCCTTGGTGCTCTCGTCATCTTCCTTCACCAGCAACTCCAGTTTCTCTGCTTCATCGACCCATATATCTAACACATGAAGTCGCAAGCCGACAGGTACTTTGGATAGGTCGCCCGACTTTTCGAACGGCCATTCCTCTAGTAGTTGAAGCATACCATCTGCGCGTGTACCAGTCCACTGCTTGCCTTTCTTTCCTTTCGTCCCGTCGCCCGCCCAAGCTAGACTGGCGCCAAATACTCGCCTCACCAACAACAAATATTTCTCCATGCGTAAAACATCGATGGCAGTCCATTCGCGGGAGAGAGTAGCCCAGAAGGCGCGGAGGAACGGAATCACCACGGCACACTCATTATCGCTCGGGGTAGGAAGGGTAGCTACGAGGCTGGCGAGATCGGCGCATAAGTTCTGCTGCGGGATAGGCCGATCGCACATCCATACGCTATAGAATAGACCTTTCCATAGTTTTAGATAATCGAGGTCTGTGAGCTTCCGAGCGGTGGTAGGCGCTGTGAGGAATGTGCGGAGGGTACCGAGGGCTGAAGTTCGTATCTTACGATCTTTTATGCCACGTAAATGTTAGCTTTAAGTACTACCATACGAATGACCTAAGTTATATACTATGTCGCATTTAAGGGTGGAAAACTAGAAACTAACCACTGGATGCAAGGTGTTTTATGAAGGGCATATTCCGCTCGTCGGCTGCCATTGTCGTCGGAGTATAGGGTATCTTATTTGGTGTCTGATAGGAGGTATACAGAAATGTAACGCGATCGTGAAAGTGAGGTTGACGTGAATTATTCTGTCGATCAATTTTTACTTCTCGGCTGTGACGACATGGACGATAAAAAAATGAAGCTGATAAAAAGATAAAGAAAAAATAGCTGTCCCGCTATAGTGGAACATATGAGCTAAGTGGGGCCGGGACCTGAGTACCAGAGTACGTAGATGCGTATTCCGTTATGTACATACAAGGATATAAATACATGCCCTAACGACATCATGTTCATATTCTTTCCAGTAAACCTAAGTCTATAAAATTCATAGAATTCAAATAATTAGGTAGTCAAGTAGATATTAGGTAACGGGGTTTATCAGTTCTTAAACAGCGCATAAGATATCATCAATAGAATATTGAGTATCTAATGGGATGGGAATATGGAGCCAAGTAGACAAACGCTTTCCCTTCCCAACCCAGGTTCTTCTCCTATTATCAAAATGATGATAGATCAACTGATACCTAGCAGACAACTAGCAAATTCCAAGGAATCACCAGCCACCATCCCAGCTCCCAATCCTAACATATGCCTATTACCGGGGCAGTCGTTCAGAACCACAGGCAAATACCAAAGTCGTAGTGATAAGGGAGACCATAGTAAGAACGAGAATCGCAAGAATCATGCCCGCTAAACCATGACAGTTACTTGAGAGATAATCCAGGTTGTTCGCCTCGAAGTATTGCTTCCAATCCCAGACATGTTGCACTGTCAAACTTGCCAGGACGATCAGAGCACACATGAAGAGGCAGGATATGATTGTTCTCAAGCCGGATCCGCAGATAAAACTGGAGCGCTCTCGGCCATACGAGTCGCGTCCAGTGCCGCAGCACAAGCCCAATATCGTGCTCAAAAACGAACACCAGAGAAGTATTGCCGAGATAAGGAGGTACGTGAACACTTGACGGGAATCATCCGACTGTGCATTCATACCATGCGCCGTAAAGTATGGAGTTAGTTCATTGTGAACAAACGCGGCAAAGTACGAGTATCCACCCGCTTCGAGGCCTAGAAGGGTGATGGGAAGCGCGATGATACATGCCACAGATCCGGCCCCCATAGTGCCAGACAGGTATGATAATACCCGACAGGAATACGGTAAGTTTAGCGAATGGGGACTTAACGAAGGAAGTTTAGGGGGTAACTCTTGAAAAAGTTACACTTGCAGATTGCGAAATGGGATTGGTGAGAATTGACGAGCTTCTCGAGACTGGGTGTCGTAAAAGTTTATGGCCAATATCGATATAGTACGTACTACAAAGAATGCCCAGGGAAAGGGACGAGGTTTAAATAGAAGTTTACGTAGGGTTGGTAGGGGTGCTGAAGGTGTAGATTGTAGAAGGGTATGACTACCTCTTGTTATAACGAGACAGCTGTACCGTGAATCCCTCTTCTAGTCAGTCTCTAAAACCATGCCACCTCATTAGTTCATCCGAATAGAGATAGGATACACCATGATTTCGTTCCATATCTAGAGTGACAGGGTCTTTGTTATTCAATAACTGTTAATTATGAGACTGCTTCTAAAATAAAGGTTAGTGAATGAAGGGCTACTAGGAAGGTAATATTGGTTTACTTGAAATTCCCTCGGCTGTAGGACTTTGCTCAAACACTAAATGTCAAGATAGTAGCAATATCAGGCGTATTTGATAAGGGCATCCCTCTTCTATCCTAATTCACCATCACATTCTGATACCTTCTCGCTCTATGCGCCTTACGCAAGAGGGTGATCTTTACTTAACACCGGGGGATAAAGCGTGGTGTTTAGATATTCTAAGGTAGTGATATGAATCTATATCATTACACGTGGCTTATTCTTTATCTCAAATAGTGATTTGATCTAATATTAATCCCAAAATTTGACTTTACTTTGATACTAGGTGAAGGTTCGCCTAGGTCCTAGAAGAGCTATACGTGGTGACCAGAGATTTATAATTCGATAGACATTTACGAAGTTCTTCCCGTATCATCCACCACAGGCTATTAAACAGTTGGGTTATCGCCGGCCCTACATACCTACACAACAAGTTTCAAGGACGGGGAATGTTTTACTAGATGAAACAGACTTTCTACAGGCATAATTAACAGTATCAACAGATTATTACTTCTACATAGTTCTTCCAGATCTATCCCGTTAGCTCACAAATAACATGTCTCATGGAAAAAGACGTTCTCCGAATATATTTCAACCGTATACCACTATATACGACCTTCCTCACTTTTCTACCTCGCTCGGAAGGACTATCCTCTTTCAGTATCCTAACTGAGGCTTTGTGTAACTTTCGTATCTTCGAGCCTTTTGGGGTACAATATGGAAGCAAGTTTACAATTACCTCCCGTGCATAGGTGGCTTAAGAAATAAGCCGAGCAGGCCGTGGGAGTAAACCCCGCAAGGTAAAAGTATTGTCTCTCCCACTATCGAATATTTAAACCTACAATGGCTCCTTCTATGCTGAGCTCTGAGCTTATTACATCTACGAGGTGTGGATACGAATCTTTCATACTAACATTTCGGCGACCGCAATGGAGAGCACAAACAAAGCCGATTTATTCTGCTCTATCATTGAGTTTCAAGAGACGCTAGATACGATTCCCGAATCTCTTTCGGAAGTTTTTGAATCATATTCTGGTATTGCTAAGCATAACCAGCTTGAGCACGTCGTGAAAGTACGAGATGAGGCATACTCCATCTTTCCATATCCGTGCCTAGGAGCCTTCCTGTTTCTTAAATTTAATCTTTCCACTCACCCCGCGTACGAAGAACACGTATTGTACCCATTGAGGCAGCAATGCTCCGATATTACAGCCGAGCCGCTGTTTCTGGATTTGGGGACCTGCTTCGGGCAAGATCTGCGTAAGCTGGTCTGCGATGGCGCGCTGGTGAGCCGAATTTGGGCTAGCGATATCGACGCTGGACTTATCGAACTCGGATTCAAGTTGTTCAAAGACGAAGATAAATTGTCGAAGGACCATTTCCTGTCCCCTGGAGATGTGTTGTCGAAGTCACCCGATGATAGACTGAGAGTATTGGATGACAAAGTCACCATCTTGCACGCGTCACATCTATTTCACTTGTTCGGCCCTGAAGACCAAAAAGTAGTTATCGATCGCTGCCTACAACTTCTGAGGAAGGACACTGGGCAATCTGTGTTGGTGTTGGGGATTCAGGGTGGGAGTACCGTTCCCACTGCTGCCATTCGCGGATGGACTCCTAAATATATCCACAACGAACAGAGTTGGAAAGACTTGTGGCATGAAGTATGGAAGAATGATATGTGGAAAGATAGGATCAAAGCCTTAGATGTAAAGTCGGAGTTGCGAAGGCTGGAAGTTGAGTCTGAGATAGAGTTAGCTTGGCAGGTATTTGAGATCTGGGTAACTTTCTCGTAGTTTGACGAGAGATTAGAAGTTAGTATTGGTTGGAAGATGGGATTGTCTTTGTGATAGTTTTAGTTATGACTATATGAAGTCCTACAATAAATCATCATCTTGATATATGGCTTTACGAGGTCGTTAAAATCGCATATGCACGTAGTTTACCTTACGACTTTGAATTTGTAAGTATTTACTAGTTAGTTAATACTTATCATATCGTGGTATGTTTACCATATAGGAAATGAGCGAGTATTGCAAACGGACCTATGAGTACTTCCACGCCAGTACTGGAAAAACACTCAAAATCTTCCGTTATAAAATGACTTGATAATCCGTAGAATATGGTATGACGTTCTTGTCGTTGTATTTTAGGTGGGCTATTAATAGCAGATGCGAGTGAGGCTACGAAGCTAGTACTCTGCGCATCTGCTACGATTTACTCAAAGGAAACAGAAGCATCGTAGGTCTCATATTTCAAGAAGTGCGTCAGTTTGATATCCTCCCGGCTGAGAATCTTGCAGAATTTCTTATGCTCTTTCTCCTTCCATGCCTTCGCTTGGCAGTCCTTATCCATCAGTCAGTACGTTACCGACCTTGAAAAAGAAGATAAAATATTCAAATGACCACGTACCTTGTTGCAGTAGTAGAAGAGCGTACATCCTGCACAGGCGTTGATATTCATCTTTACGTTATCGCAACCGTGGCATTTCCGTTGGGTTCCTTCTGCAACCGTGTACTTGAGGACTTGTTCGTTCATCTTGATGGCATCTTTTAACCCGAGGGGGATGATCTATCAAGGTTAGCGTACAGCTAATAATCTGATGCGTAGGTAAAAGAAACTCACAAGAACCCCGCTGGAATCTTCGATTCTCACACCAACGCTTCCGTCAAGGAATTAGTGAACAAACGGGTAGAAGATAGCAATCGTATTGCCCACCTTGAACTCCTTTTGCATACGAAGCATATCGTTTAGATCGTCCACGTAGAATCCAACGACAAACGTATCACCTTTATGGTCCTTTGCTACGACACGCAGGCGGGCGAAGGTGCTGACATGGATGATATCTCCTAGAAGACACCAGTGTTTGCGGTTAACAACGGTGGCGTCGCCACGCTCGACGAGATACCGGTCATCCCAGGAGTATTCTAGCGGACAGTCGCTAAAGGAAGGGAAGAATTCGCGGTCCTGGAAGGACTGAGGTTTGGCTTGGGTAGCCATTGGTCTAACCTAAGGTTTTATAAGAATTGGTATCCGTGAGATAATTTACTTGATGTGCTTGTTTGAGAAGTTGGACATTGCTAGATCACTTAGACAAACAGCCGAATATTGAATTTATGTGATGCGGGACGAGCAATCAACCCGTTTACCGGAGAGCACTGGCAGAATGAAAACAGCTGTCATTGAAGCTATAGGATGTATCTAGGTACTAATGTATATGTGATGTAAAAGAATGTTTTCTCATAGTAAAGTCTATACGTCGGACGGGTAACTGAGACTTAAGACTTTGAGTACGTACACCGTTGAATATCAAAACACGGATATGTACATAAGCTCGGATAGATTATCGTAATAACCAATTAAGAAATCCACCATAACGTAATTCTCATAATTCTCATAATTCTACACGCGTCGGTCGCGTTGTTCCACCTTCTAACGATACCTACCTATACTAAGGAACCAGGGTGCGCTCTCTTCGTCAGACCAAGCCATGGAATTTCCTGGCTATCGTCACAAGGCACTTGATTTTCGGTAAACCGTATTTTTGTCACTGGCCCAAGATGGAGGAGTATACCCGACCTCATTTCTTTTTTCATGGGGGTGCGGTTAGTCGAATCCTTAATCTCAAAGAGATATTCATGCTAAATATGTCGGACAAAATATTAGGGTGACGAAAAACTAGAAAGCGAGAAGCGTCGTTGTCACTTCTGCCAGATTCGTTCGTTCTCGACGCATACTCGGTTCCCAATCACCATCATTAATAACGAAGACGATGCCGTACTCGACCCCGATTTCCGGTTCATGGACAGCTCGGTTCTCGGAAAAGGTGTAGAACCAACTAAGAGAGAGTTCCTTACCGGTTGCGAGTGCGTCGATTCGGAGGACTGTCAATACAATACGTGCAATTGTCTTCAAGATGTCGAGGACGATAGTTCCGACGACGAGGATTTCTACGATACCTACGGTGCGAAACCTCACAAGAAAGTTTACGCATATCATAGCCACGGCTCTAGGGCGGGCCGACTACGTTCCAAGGTCCTCGCATCGCGCGACCCCATCTACGAATGCCACGAGAGCTGCGCGTGCGGACCGTACTGCCCAAACCGAGTAGTGGAAAGAGGTCGCCAGATCCCGTTGCAGGTTTTTAGGACTAAGAACCGCGGCTGGGGCGTGCGAAGCACCGTGGACATTAAGAGAGGTCAGTTTATCGACAAGTATATGGGCGAGATCATTACCGCCGAAGAGGCCAATCGCCGACGAGCGGAGTCGCACATTGCGCAGCGCAAGGACGTATACCTCTTCGCGCTCGATAAGTTCTCCGATCCGGACTCTTACGACGACCGCCTGCGAGGAGCCCCGTTAGAAGTAGATGGTGAGTTCATGTCTGGCCCGACCAGATTTGTCAATCACTCTTGCGAGCCGAATATGCGCATCTTTGCTCGAGTAGGGGACCATGCGGACAAGCATCTACACGACCTAGCATTGTTTGCGCTTAGAGATATACCTAGGGGCGAAGAGCTAACGTTTGACTATGTGGATGGGGTGGATGATTCGGAAAATGATGCTCTAGATCCGGAGAAGCAGAAAGATATGACACGTTGTCTGTGTGGAAGTGAAGGTTGTAGAGGTTACCTCTGGTGACGATATAGGTATGGCGAGGGCTACCAAGTAAAGTATGCCATTGGCCTTGGAACTGAGTACTTGTACTTGAGGAATGGTAAGTTGTATTACTTGCCTTGTACTGTTGGGTGTAACACCCTGTTCACCTGTTCACCTGTTTACTAGTATGACTGGGTCGGGTTATTTACAAGATAGCTATCACAAAAGTATTAGATTAGACAATGATGGACATTCTACCACGTGGCTACATATCACAAGAATAGACATTCTAATGTAGTACGTGTCACTATCGTTTGCAAGATGTTACAAAATCGAATCCACTGTAATTGAAATCAATTGGATAGACCAATGGATTAATATGAATTTCATGTGAGAGGTTTGACATAGCTGCTGGTTGCTTAGTTGCTTAGTTGCTAATAATAATAAGGTTAGCGGGGAAATTCTTGGCGGTATCTCTTAGATCAATTCGTACCGATTTAGTCCATCTATCGATTCATTATTCTCCATATTTTTGTTGCTGAGCCTCATCAATCAATCAATCAATCAATCAATCCAACCTAACCTTAAACAACTTCAGCACGTAATCCCTCATATAAAGACTAGCGTCCTCCGACGATCCAGACCTAAATAGCCCTTCGAATCATATTCCGAATTATCGCAGCTTAGAAAACGAAGACAAGAACATACAAGAATAGACAATGCGTTGAAACAGTCTTTCATCTTCGCCCCGGTGTGTCCTATCACTATCCAAAGTGGGCACCAGTTCCCAGAAAGTGCACAAGCAATGGTACTGTCGCTGAAAAATGCACTTCTTCTATCCCCGCGCAGTCCAACAATCTCCAATCTCCGAAATATTTATGTTGATATCCAACTAACGATTGGCTTCTTAGGGTTGTTGCTTCTCAAGGCCCGCCGGCCCCAATGCCCCTTATCCGGGTGGTAGTGCTGCATCACCCTCTGCGCGCGCCATCAATTCCCCGCCGTTGCACCCTTCCGCTACAGACGATAGCCCGCCAGTTTCGCGTGCCGACTCCCGCTCTCACCAACCAACACACTCGCCTCATCCACAGCAATCGCAATCGCATCACCATACCCACCATACGCGTAGCTGTCGACCGCCCCTGTCACAACATATAGACAAGCCCCTGCGGCGACACGAGTGGGTCGCGCGCGATCGGTCGTGGACACGTTCCCAGTTAGATACGGAGAGGGCCGACTTCTTCGATACGCGAGTCACCGGGCGCGCTGAGGTGTGGCAGGTCTTGAAGGCGGCGTTAGAGGTTTTATGGGAGGCGGATTTGGTTCGCGCGACTGGCGGCGAGCGGGAAGATGACGACGGGACGGATGGGATAGCTACGGCGCAGAGCATGCTAAAGGCAGCTGAAGTCACCCTACCCACAGGCGACTTATCGAATGGGGTGTACGATTCGTTAGGAAATTACTATGCGTTGCCGGAATGGATCGTGTGCGATCCCGTGAATGTGACTGAGGAAAACGGCGCGAAGAGAAACAATGGCGGTGCGAGGCGGAAAAGAGACGGCGAATTGACTGGCGAGGAAGATAGCGAGGAGGAGTTGGACGAAGACGAAGCTTTGCGACGGAGGGAGGAGAAGGGGAAAGGTATCGCTAATATCAAGAACATGGTGAAAGTTCGTGCTAGACTTAGCGAGAATTTACCAGATGTGGTCGTTAGTGTTAGTATTGATGAAAGCGTGAGAAGTTTTGCTAAGAGGATAGCCGAAGAATCCGGGGTAAGTCGTTCCTCTTTACTTCTCGTGAGTGTGACTTCTAACAATCTAGCGTAGCTGGCTTCCACAAAACGCGTCCGCGTAGCCTACATGGGCAAAATCCTTAAGGAGAATTCGTCGTTACAAAGCCAGGGCTGGAAGAAGGGCCATATAGTAAACGCTTTGGTGTTCAACCGGTAGCAATAGGTACCGGTGTTGTGCTGTCCTATACCTACCTCTCATACCATCGACACTCATCTACCTCCGTGGATCCGAATCCACAATGCCTAATTTGGATTCCAAATACCCATGTTGGAGCGTCAATCTTTGGATTGTCCTGACGTTTATGTTCCTTACCACTTTCCTACGTCGGATTCTGGATAATACCCCAATATTTTGTGCCTTACTGTGTTGGCATGCGGTGGACTATCGGAGTTAGGTGTATTTATAATGAATTCTTCGAACTGACGAAGGTAACAGGACTTCGTTTGGGAAAGTTAATTACCTACTGTCAAGACTCGAGATAGAGTCGAATATAATACTATGATATATAATGCATATTAATTGATGTCACCTCGGTGCAACATGTCTACTTGACGCAATTCTGTTAAGCTGGTCTTATCCTTGTGAATCCGAATATCATCAATGTCCATAGAGATCTAATGATAATGGGCATTCCGCGGTCTGCTAATGTAGTTGACTGAAATGTTCTAGTTTACATTTTAGCAAATACCTGTGCCTTACTGGTTTCTATTCTAGCTCTCTGGCATCTTCAATATTGCCTATCACGTTGGTTATAGTTATCAAGGTAGATAGGCGTCGAGTCACTTACCAAGATTATGTGCAACGTAAGAGTTGGATTGAAAGATAGGACTTTAAGGCAACAGTGTATTAGTTTCAAACGTATACCTCGCACGTCATCATATCTCGTAGGACTCGATATGGGCTAGATACGTTATTACCCGGGAACCGGGATTTATGATAGGAAAGATAGACACCGTTTCTATTTTTGACCTATTCTAGACCCCAAGAGCTGCGAGTAAGCGGGTCTTTACCAGGTTTTCGGAATGCGATTCTATGTAGTTAATATGGCTAAAGTCGTTGAGGTTGTGATCTAGAGCTCGAATCCCAGAAGATCGGAGGAATACCATATATAGGAACCAATCAATAAAGTCGCTTGTCCATTTGTATACGACTGGTGGTGCTATTATATCGTGATGACACTGGCGAGAATGCTAGAGTTTTGAGCTTCCGTAAATATATAAAGGTGAGTTTCCGGGACTGTAAGCCAACGTTCGTATATCTAAAGCTACTGCAAATTTGGTCGATGCCATATAGATATCTTGAAAGTCAACATTGCTTTACAAGGTGTATCTAAGATGCGTCTCGCCGGTCCATTTACTCTATTCTTCGCGGCCTGCTCTGCAGCTACGCCGCAAAAGCTTATGACGCTTCCCGACGCTTCAGAAGCCCCATTCTCACCACCAACTATACAGTCCGTCTCCTTCTCCGGAAACGGCTGCCCTCAAAATGGCGGAAAGAAGCAGGTTTCAGGCGGGTGGCAACACTTTGCGTTTACCCTCCCGGACTTCGCGGCTTCTTACGGCGGAAGCAAACCGAAGTCTGTCAATTGTCAAGCTCACATGAACCTGGGCGGAGGTGAACCCGGCTGGCAAGTTGCGCTGAAAGACGTGTGGACTAGGGGTCACATAGAGTTGGAACCAGAGGTGAAATTAACGCAATACATCACTACGTACTATAGCCAAGACGCGGCGAATACGGTAGGCGACATACTTCTCATGACTCGTCTGCTATTATGTCGAAACTAATGCAATTTTCTATGTTAAGATCTCTACAGCACAAACCGTGACGAGCCCTTCGAACTCGAGTCTCACTCGGGATATTACAATCCACGCGAGCATTCCAAAAGAAAGCGCTGTTTGGTCTCCGTGTACAAGATCGGACGGATATGTTGGTATTTTGAATGTGAACTTCCGTATCGCCTTCACTTCGCCGAATAGCGCGTCGTATGGGTATTTTGGCGGAGGAAAGAATTCAACTGTCAGCGAGAAATGGGCCTGGATATGGAGACGGTGTTAGCCGCAAAGACGAGATACTAAAGACGCCGATAAAGACGCCGAATACCATATGCAGTTTTGGTATCAGGTGAAATATTTCAAGTCCATTAAATCATAGAACTAAATACCTTACACTTCATATTGGCCGGTGCCTCTCTTGCGAAATAAGACGTGACTTAGGTGACATTGGTAGGATAACTGCGTACATAAGTACCTACCAATCTACATAGCCATGCAAATACATTGGAACCCTTCACGTAATAGATATGAGAATATAAGTGGTGCCATACGTAGCCTATACAGAACCTGTATAGTACTGAAGATATTAGCGAATCCAATATCTGGATTTACGGTAACGGTATCTAGCTTACTCGTACGAAGGTAGATTGTCCGGAATACTGACACTTGCTCAATAAAGAATCTGGGATATTGATCATCTACCTCTCAGATGGTTTTGGTTTCTTTCGTAAACGCATATATCCAAAAATTGTGGACTGTGAGAATAACAGAGAGACAGGCTCGTATGATCCATCGGCGGATTCTGCTCCAGTCAATTCTTGGAAGATCATTCCTGTAAAAACTTGCTCAAACCTACTCTCGCCCAGAGGTATCAACAAGCAAGATTTATATGGCGTATTAGTATAATACGTAAAGCGTACGAAAACGAAGCCTTGGTTTATAAACATTCAATTTAGGTACCTACCTAGCTATTTGCTCCCTTTTCTAAGTCTTTATGAGCTTATAGCAACCCCTTAAATCAAGGAAATATGAAGCATCGAGTTTCGTACACGAGCCTGCCTCGGACTATCTTTCTCACAGCCGAAATTGTACTTGTATTGATCACCATGTTATTAATGTGCCTTGCATACCTGGAAAAGTTCAGAAAAGCATCGTGGGAAGTCGGGGGTCAGAATGGTTGGAATTCTAGACCTCATCAACAACAGTGAGTCTCAATATACAAAAACATTATTTCAGACTGACCAGGTATTTAAGTAGACTAAGCGAATCCAATCTGGCGATTTCTGTGCTTGCTACAGTTACATGTATGGCCCGGCTTATGTTGGCCTATTTCAACACTACCGCCGCCTACTCCTGTCTGTTTGACATTCTAAATGATTTAATGTTGTCGGGATTTTGGATTTATAGTATTGCCGCACAATGTTCCAACGACCTTACAAACCCATACCATATCATAGTAATACCCTGGCATCTAGAAGAGAGTTGTGGTACCTTAAATTCGATGATAGTTGGAGATTGTCTACTTGCTAGGTCCTGTTTCCTCTTTTCGGTTTTCTCGCTGTAAGTTCGTTACTAATTCCCGACGAAGACTAGACTAAACTAAACGTTACAACACTCTAGGTCATTCTTCTTTTTGCGGTCTGTTGTTTCTATGCTTCGTCTGGCTTATTATTGGGGACATTTTGAAATGCCAGCTCGCGACGCAGAGACAAAACATGTGCCAGTCTAGAAAGACCCCCAAAGAAAAGTTGAAGTAGGAATAAATGATACGAGAATAAAACGGTACGATTCATAATGTTAGGATAATAGTAGAACATTTAATTATGTCGACGAAATACTAATAGGGGTATCACTGGAGGCTTTACGGTGTTTGTTAGAACTGCTGGCGTTCCTTGTCCATCAACTGTTACAACATCTTAGGACATTATGAATTTCCCTTCTAGTATCAGAAAATCAATAAAATTAGGACGGCCGTTACGTTGAACTCCCCAATAAGTATCCCTCTATAATAGCAGAGTAGATACTGCGCTTACCTACCGTCAAGCTCCGCCCAGTCGTGTCAAAACTCCTCACGAGCAAGTTATTGATATTGCAGCTGAGCATGTACCCTTGCCGCGTTTTACCACCAACCGGTATCGATCCGACGCATATCACAACGTGGGCGAAATTGTACCCGCACCTAGCATCCCTGTAAAAGTCCGTTGCAGATGTAGGGTGGCTGTTACGTTCACCCCTCCCTAGCTCCTATTAAGATCCTTACGTCGTGGTTCTAGAGTCCATATGTACTGAATGCGAGAATCTATGAGACATATACCTGTATTAAGTGTGAACTGATTGGCTATTTTGTACGGAACCAGCCCGTTATGCGACTAGGAATAACCTTGAACCTTTTCTGTATGTCTCGGCAGCAAGATGGAACTCGTGCGAGACAAGAAGACTGTATTATTACATAAACCGCAGTGGTCTGCAGGAACAATCATGTCTCTTCTTCCCCGGTACTCAATCCGAATTACGTATCTACTTTGAGATCGGATAGGAAATATGGATCACGGACATATGTCAGGAACGCCATGGCTAGATCAGCCAGTGATGCTTCACTCGTCTCGGGAGGATACATGCAAGCTTACACCAGCGCAATGTGAATATCGCGCTGGCTACTGGAGATATTGGTATGTTCCGTATACTTTCGTCTTGTATAATATTTCGATCGGCTAAATTTAGTTCTTAGGTACCACGCAGATCATGTATATGCTCTCGGGACGGTTTACTTCTTCGTAGCTGTCGTTGGCGTTTGCTTCATCGGATTTTACACCCAACGACTTGCTCCTGTGTCTCTTAGAGAAAGGACGTGGTGGCGGAAGTTAATAGCTAGCTTTCGATTTCTATCATATCGCCGCTACGATATTTCGGCAATACGATGGCATACTCCGGCTTTAGGGGTTGTCTTTCTGTTAATTTACGGCGCGGTTTTCTTCCTGTGTGAGTCCGACTTCGTTATGACGGCTATCACGAGCCTCTCGACTTGCTGACTGACACATATTTGAGTAGCAATGACGCTGGGTCCAAAGCCGTATTACTGGCCAAACACGCGAACGCTTAACTATGGCGGTTCGCCTCCAATCGCGACCAGAACCGGTTGGATGGCTCTGGCCTGTTTACCTTTCATGATGATCCTTCCGACTAAATCTAACTTCATCGCATCCTTGACGGGGGTTTCTCACGAGCGTCTTATCGTATTTCACAACTGGGTCGGATGGGCTATGTTCGTCCTGGCTCTTGTGCATACCTTTCCGTTCATCGTATTTCATATCTGGAAAGGAGACATGGTTACCATGTGGAATACCAGCGTTGTATACTGGACAGGAGTCGTCGCATTGATTGCACAAGCCTATCTACAAGTCTTCTCGCTCCGTTCTATTAGGTCAGTTGTTTGTTCTGAACGGTACCTAATGGTTAAGGCTTACGAAAAAATAGGGATCGATTTTACGAGTTCTTCAAATTAACGCATTATTTAGCAGCGGCAATATTTGTGGTATTCTTCTTTATTCACTGTGACTTTAGGTTGAGTTCCTGGTGAGCCCATCTAAGCTTCTTGGCTTGTTGCGGAGAGCTAATTAATTTCACTATATTAGGGATTATTTTATCGCGACCGGAGTCCTCTACACGCTCTCCTTCCTCTACCCTCAAATCAGAACCTACTTCGAATTCGGAGTATCTAATCGTGCTAGCTTCACTATGGTTTCGGACCTAGCTTTAAAAGTGACGATTCCCATCGATACAACGTGGCGACCGGGTCAGCATATGTTCCTTCGTTTCGTTCATATGGGAATGCACACCTTCACGGCTCACCCCTTTACTATATGTAGTTTACCGGCTGTAGGAGAGAGTTCCGGACGGTCAAAGCTCGTATTTTACGTACAACCTAGAGGTGGGCTCACAGGTCGTTTAGCTAAGGCTGCTTCGTTACGACCGGGTTTCAGCGTTCCGGTTCTACTAGACGGGCCATACGGAGGGGTTCAAGGAAGACCTCTATCCACGTATGACTACAACCTCGTCATCGCTTGCGGCGCCGGCGCTGGCCTCTCTCTACCCTTCGTACTGGAAAGCCTTCTTCGCTCGGCTTGGAATCAACGTGCTGGCAATAAGAAGACTTGCACAAAGATACAAGTTGTTATGGCCACGAGGGATACACAGCTAGCAAGGTGGTACGAGGAGGCAATAATACAACATCTAGAGGAGAACGGAATCGACATGATACCTGATGACATCGACATATCCATATACCAAACTAGGAGGCTCGAGTCTAAAAGCAACAGCACGGCTAAGGACCCCGAATTATCTAACGAGAAGCTTAACGAAAACTCCCCAGTGGTCAGACGACTACCTATTAATGTATTTTCCGGGCGTCCAGATATTAAGACCGTAATTAGAGATGCTACTAGCCAGTCGGGGCTTTCTATTGGCATCGTTGCTTGTGGTCCTCGGGAAGTCTTGAAAATTGTGCAAGACGAGGCAGCAGCAGCTCAGTTACGAATTATGAGCTCTAAGTCTAGCGCACGCGAAGTTTACTTGCATTCTGAAATATTCTCGTAAGTCTTTTATTATTTAAAATCATCCACTCGTACTAATCTATTGTTTATTTAGATGGTAGCCTTTGCTCGTTCGCAACTTTATAGAGGCCGTCTTGTTTATGCTACGAGTGCGAATCTGTTTCTTAAACTTCGATACCAAATGGCTATAAATATGATCCAGATAATATGTTCAAATAGAATAAGCTCAATAAGTAATAGCCAATCATGTAATACATAGCCTAGGCCATATATTCATTTCAATGTTATCCATAGGAGTCAAGATAAAACTAAACTTCAGTAATTAATGTATCACTTAGTTAACCTTGTCATAGATCAACCTGTCATAGGTCAACCTGTCATAGGTATATCACTGACAAGTGAGAAAGGGGGTGGATATAGTAATAACAACACCAACCAGCCTGCTAATCCATGCTCAAGTCCGGGCGGGATGAGAGAGTTTGAGCAGATTTTGATCCTATACTTTCCAGAAGCAGTTAGACAATAATCATAGCAGGAAATCTGACCCACGGTCTTGGATATTTTATAACTTTATGAGCCTCTAATAATAAAGGACGCGACTTTCGACACCATGTGATTATGTGATATATCAAAGACAAATCGTATGAGAACGGGCACGGAATCCAATGAATACCATCATTCGTCCGTATTACACCGGACCCCCCAAGCATAAACCATACCACCTCATATGCTTAGAGATGAATCTTATAGATACATCTTGATACCTGAGCAAGTATCTATTCGTTCAATTTGGAAATTCCCTAGTAGTTGAGGCATCAGTAGCGTCCGTATTTTCGAAGCCTCTAACATCTCCGGAATATCACCGATATCAATCGTTAATTTGTTGTATCAAAATAGATCTGTCTCATCCCATACCATAGACAAGACTACATTCCCATCCAAGTTCAAATAACTCGTTAACGTTCACGTCCTCTTTACGCTTGCATCTGATTTACTGACTAACCCTGAAGTCATATTCCTCGATACTTTTCTCGTTGGCGTTCAGGTATTGACGTTGCTCATATCACGTTCCCAGCAAGCAAGATGGACCACAACGATATGACAATGACGACTCCTGCGGCTACGACTGGTATGATGACGATGACGATGACGAGCGGGAGCTCGATGCCGTCGTCTACCAGTGGGATGGATATGGGAATGGACATGAGTGGCTCGTCTATATTGATGTCCTCGGCAGAGATGGCGATGGTATTCTTTCAAAGCGTTACAACTCCTCTTTACTCGAGCGCGTGGACACCTCAGGGACAGGGCTCTTACGCCGGCACTTGTGTATTTCTAATTGTGCTCGGTCTGCTGCACCGCATTCTAATCGCGCTGAGATCTATCATCTTCGACTCAAATCCGGTACTCCATCGTCATGGCAAAACTATTTCATCATCCGATTCGGACAGTTACCCAGGCAGTAGAAGCGATTTGGAGTTAATGGGTGGTCAATTAAGGACCCAATGGAATAGCCACCCTTTCAAGGTTGCTACTGAGACGTTTCGCGCTTTACTCGAGGTCGTAATTGGAGGTATTGGATACTTGCTGTAAGTCATCCTTTACTTTATACGCTTCATTTCTGATCTTTATGTCTAATCACCTTATAGCATGTTAGCAGTGATGACTATGAACGTGGGATATTTTCTGTCTGTCCTTGGAGGCATCTTCCTTGGCACCTTCGTCGCTGGCCGGTTTGGTACTGGCGACAGCCATCATTGATCTATTAAATACGCAAAAGCCATAGGGTCTTCATACTATTGCTTAGTTTCCGATATAAGAATTATTGGAAATTTGGGAAAGCTCTTGTTGGGAGAAGATGAAATATCGAAGGGGGAGTTTCATATGGATTTCAATTGAGCATACTTTGCCTTCAACGGTAACTATTCAAAACCTACACGTTTATAACTGTGCTAGTCCTGAGCGGTTCATGTGGCACTACTTGGTCAACTCGTCAAGTATTCCTCAAACCAAGCAACCATACGACTCCTTTCCTTTGATCACTATCGCGTCAACGGAGGTAAAAGCGCCCACTAGAACCGATCTCCCCAAGACTGCCTTGTAACAGTAGAAAGCAACGACTTAGGGTTTAGGAATAGAGGGAAGAAGATAGCTAGCAGCATAGAAAGGGGTTTACTTGAACTAACCTCTCGTAGCCAGTCATAGGGACTATATCGAATTCAACCGTTTGCATACCCGCGTAGCTGCATCTCGTCAAAGCTATAAGGTTACTTCAGGAGCGCCTAGCAAGCTGCGAATATAAGTTTTCGACGTCCTACCCGGCCGTATTGGTGGTTGCAGGCTTGAAAATGGTATCGACTGCTATAGAAGACTTCGAAGCAGCATCAAGACATATTGAGGGTCTACACCAGATAGTTACGTTACGAGAGGGAATTTCTGCATATTTTGAGATAGACAAAATCCTCCGGTGAGTCGGACCTCGGTGCTCAACGTCACAAGCAACGAGCACGGATATCATATAGAGCTGATCATAGCGTAGCCCTTGCTAGAGAACATCGTCCTCTTTTTCCAAGGTCATCCCGTGGGACTCCTATATCCTCATGCAGAAAGACACTTGTCTCCGGGGATGCAAACCCAGATGTTATTCCCCTTGTGGATATTCAATTTTCTCTGTGGCATAGATATGCTACTGCGCTCCGTGTGGGATGATGTTTCTGAAGTTACAAGCTGACTATGGATGGCGAGTTGCAGCAGGAAACAATGACATCAACACATTACCGTTTGGTAAACCTTTGCTTCCATGCGGATAATGCAAACGAAGTTATACACTCGCCCTATTAGCGCTTTCCAGTTCTGTCTTCAATGGAGAGGCATCAAAGCTAGCTACAAATATTTTGCTGAGCGTTTTAAATAGTCCTTGTTCCAGTCAACTAAAACTATACCCGCTCATCTTCTCGTCTGGATATACATTATATACGCCGCTCCGAGCTTGGATCGATATGATTAGGTGTTCCATAGCACAAGCATTATGTCGTTGAATGAGACCAGGGCAACGCCAAAGTCTATCGTATGGCTATATGGTATACATGCTTCCTTGGCGGAATATTGAGACCTTACCTATCTAAGAGGTATATTCAGGGGAACTCCAATAGGCTATACCCCTTGAGTTGATATCTTCCAAGTCTTGGATATCTTGATAAGCTGCCATATAGTCGACTTCTCGTGGAGATGATTCGGCGTTAAAGTCAACGGTATCTAGTAGTCAACCTACAATGCCTATATTGATATAGTACGGCTTCGTGTCAAAGCATTCCTCGTGTTGATAGCATCTCGTATATCAATTTCTATACGCAGCGCGCCCTGGTTCTTTACAACGTCGCAGTCAAACACCCCAGCACCGAATACGAGGTTTTCTCCACTCGGAGATGAATCCTCATTTGGGAAAGACTAAAGAATCAAAATAGGCTAGAAGATCAATCGCATATAAGAACGACGTACGGCGCAGATGCTCGATAGGAAATCTTTTCGGCAGTTGGTTTGCGGAGGACCAGGAGCACTGTTCAGTTTATCACGATGAGGGTTACCGAGTTTCTCCTAGCTGTAGCTAGTCTAACTGCGACGACGACTGCTCACATTTCAATGCCCATATACGGCAGGCAGGCTTCGGTTTTGGATGTTACCCTGAGTCCTTCGCCGACGGGCGAGGCTGCTGAATTAATCGCCACCATTAAAAACGTCGGTTCTGAGGACCTCAATCTGCTACGAGTTGGTACTCTTCTCGACGAAGTATTGCCGGTTCAGAAAGTCTCCGTCGTAGATGAGTCAGGTACTTCAGCCAATAAATATAGGGCGACGAAAATATAAGCGATGCTAATGGTGATAATTCATAGGCGCGGAAGCTCCTTTCAGGGGAATCCACGCGAGCATCCGTCACGATGCTCTTACGGCCAAGAACTTCCGCCTACTAAAGGCGTCGGAGTCTTTCGACACGGTTATCAAAGCTGCTACTGTACACAAGTTTGAAAAATCCGGAACATATACGTTCAGGGCCACTGGATTGATCCCGGTAGCAGCGGCTGGATCTACTGAGCTGTCCGGCCCGGCGATATTGATTTATTCTAACAGTATAAGTCTTCACGTCGATGCTCAAAGTGCCGCGGCCGTCCCTAAACTTCTGAGTTTGAATCCTCTCGAAGGACGCACGAACATAGCAGATGGCTGCAACGCCACGCAGCTAGCAGCAAGCACCGCAGCCCTCGCCAACTGCAAAACCCTAGCTCTAGCAGCCGCAGCTGATGCCGCAGACCAGTCATCCTCTCGATTCGTCGAGTATTTCAAGACCAACTCATCGACGACGCGGCAGACTGTCGTCGATAGGTTAACGGCGGCAGCGAAAGAGTGTTCGACGACTGATTCGGGACCGTCGCGATATTTCTGTTACGACTACTACAACATATGCGAGACGGAGGGACCGTTGAACGCATATACCAAGTGGGATTTTGATTTCGTCGTCATGTGCCCGCTATTCTACGATACGCTTCCTGCGCTGCCCCAAGGCTGCCATCGCCAATGCCAGGCTACGACCACGATACACGAGATAACTCATTGCGAAGACGTATATAGCCCGCATACGAACGACTTTGTATACGGGTATAACGAGAGCGTTGCTTTATCGCCTGAACAGGCGTTGCTTAACGCAGACAGTTACTCACTTTATGCTAATGGTAAGATATTAAGCTTGTCAAGGTGCGAGCGATGCTAACATATTCTAGCTGTATATTTGAAGTGTTAAATCAATGGTTATTTAGTCATTTATAACTTTCGTCTAGTAAATTTATAAGTGGCATTAAATTTAATCTGAGCGATATTCCGCAACAACTTAACAGTTCCGATGACAGTGGTGATTTCTAGATTAGCTCGACGATTTCCTCACTCTTAGCATTTAAGATTAAGCATAGGTAAGGCCAAGAGAGTTGTAGTCATATCGAATACAATTCCTATGACTGACGGTGATGGCTGAACTGAGGGGAAGATGTGCTCCATGTCGTCAATTCAACCAATAGTCAGACATGTCCTAATCATATTGTTAGAGGTTACGATAATTTCTGGAGTGTTGTACCATCATATCGTCAAGATCTCTTGTAACTGATACATTTGAAAAGGTATGGTTCAACGCCGGTACCTAAATAATCGTAGATCAACCCAGACGCATCTTCTCACGTAGAACATATCATCTTTCAACAAGATTTCATGGGCAACATATAATACATATAAAGCACCTCGATCTATAATCTAAGGCGCCCTACTCGGCTTCTTGAGCCTCTTCGTCGGAAGAACCCTCGTCGTGGGTCTCGCTGTCGGAATTATCTACTGTCGTATCCATACTCCTTCTAGTTAAATTCGGAAACATTAACTGCCGTAGCTCGTCCTCATCTAATACATCTTCCGGTGGAGCGTCGCTCAGATCGCTCTCATCGTCGGCGGAATCGTGAACGCTTCCGGGCGCCGAGCTCGAATCATCCTCGCCCTCGCCCTCTTCATCCTTCATCTCCACATCCTCATCTAATGCGCCATCTTCACTTCTCGAGTCGTCGTCGGCTACGTCGTCTTGCTTCCCTTCCTCTGCCGCAGGCGTCTTACTGCTTGAGACGGAGCCTCGTGATTTGGTACCTGTGGGTTTTGGACCCTCTTGGGCACGCACGACTGCTTGTTCTGCCTTGCGTAGAATATCAGCTCTCCTTATTCCCACTTTGCGCGGTCTTTGTGGCCCTTCCGTATTCGCCGATGTTAAATCACCGGCCGCGCCCTCTCCGCCTGAGTTCTCGTGCGATTGTGGGTTTAAGAGACTGCTTAGCGAATTCGTCGGCTTGGGTTCTGCTACTTTATCAGGCTGCCGAGATTCTTCTCGTAGACGTGCCTGTTCCCGCTCCGCAATTAAAGCAGATACGGAAGGGCCTGGTAAAGTCTTCCCAATCTCGAAATACAACGCTGTATAGCAATCGTTAACTAGGTCGTCGATGGCGCCGGCTTTCATTAAGCCTGCATTGAGCTTTTTCAATTCTATCGTCTCTTGCAAAGCGCTGAGCGCGGGGTGGGAGGAAGACGGATCCGATGACCATTCGCTAATCCTGGAGGTAATAATATCGAACTCGTCGGGGCTGATTGGTTTAAAATCATCTTCGAGGACCGGGGAGATCTGATATGTCTGCCGGATAAGTCGAAGATACGCAATGCAGCAAGTTTGCCAGAGATCGTTGAAATGATAAAAGTCTGCCCCCTTCTTGCGTAAACGGCGAAGCAAAGCCTCGAAGTTCGTCCTGTCCTTTAGAACCACCAAGAGCTTAACGGCAAACCGAACGTATTGCTCCGTGTAAACGTGATGTCGACCTGGTCGCTCCGCATCGCACTTCCAGACGTTCATCACCATGGTCTTGGTTAGCATCGATTCTCTTAGCACGCCAAAGGCAGCCATCGCCTGAACGTAGCCCTGCTCTTCGGAGTTCTCGTCGAACAAAATTCGGGCATGGCGCATGATAATGCGATGTTGCCAGTTTGATCTGTCTTTCTCTCGCAGGTGGGTTAGTGTCTTTATCACATACGGCTCCCAGTCTTCCGGCTCCGCGATCTCAACATGCTCCCCATCCTGAAGGGCGTACGGTTGACGTTGGAGTATGTCGGCTGCTTCTTGAGGCGTTATATCTCCTCGCATCACCAGCTTGTGCATGATCGACACGATCTTGTAATGGGGCTCTAGAACCGGATCTTGGCCGTGGCGTGGCTTTGGTAGTGCAGACACGACCTCGATGGCCTTTTCGAGGGCGTCTATGACGGCTTGCATAGTAGGCCGATCTCGTCTATCTCTATGGTCGAGTGACGTTGGGGGTTTCTGATACATCTTCCAGATACACTTGGCCACCATGTACGGATTCCTACAAAAAAATTATTAGCCCAACATCTATCTAGCGGTTAGGATATACTTACTGCCACTGTTTTGGTCTGACCTCCATGGCTTTGGCGAATAATCTAGCAGCGTACTTCCATACTTTGTAGTCTTCCATTTGAGAATGAAGATCCTTGGACTCCACACCGGATTCGAGGATAACGAATCTCTTGTGCTCGGAGTGGTGGAAGGGTTCCATCGCAAACGGTTCTCGGCTGGAGGCGTACATGCGCATGCCGAATTTATGATATAGGTCGTGTATGTCGTCGGAACGTTCCCTGAGCGCGTCGGGTGGCGTGTTCCGAGACTGCGATAGCGCTAGAGTATAGCAGTGGATCGCGCTGCGCTGGTACTTTACCAGTTCCGCCCTCTCTTTGTTCATCTTATCTGCCGTCCACAGCACGGACTCGTCGAGCTCGTAGTCAAAACACTCTGCAAGTCTGAACCAAGCATCCCATTGATCGGGGGTGAACTGTAGCTGCTGGCGTAGAAATGTGGCGCCGATGCGAAGGTCGTCAGTAGCGCCTGGCGTCTGCCTCCTATTAAGATCTACGCCTTTGAACTTGGTGAAGGCGATCATGCCCAAGAGGAAGAACCATCCGTGCTTGGCTAAAGCGCTATCCGGCGTGTTGACGGTGACTGCGTCGATGGAAATATTACCCTTGAGCGCCTCGTACAAGCGAAGGGGCGGGATAGGCCTTTGTAAAGTTTGGTTAAAGATCCTGAGATTTTGTATGAATTGCTGGTTCGACTTGGTTTGCCCTATAGCTTGCTGCATGTGTTCTATCGTCGTTTTGAGATCCGATTTCAGCAAATCTTTCATCGGCATGCGGTTAGCTAAGACGGATACCCTCTCGACTAGAGCCGTCGTGTTTCGCCGTTCGAGCTTCTCGGCGGGACATCCGTGGTCTTGCACTTCGCTAAGACCTACTCCGAGTTTCAAGCCGTAGAGATCGTAAAGAACTTGTCCGAGATAATCCTCCCAGTTGTCTATGAGATTCTGCTTCAAAAGTTCCACGCGCATCATCTTAAGGAATATCTTGTTGGACGCTTTGCAGAATTTTCTAAGGCCGAAGACCTGATGGATAGCTGCTAGATAGTCTGCGAGATCGTTATCGGGAGTAGTAAAGCCTGCCCTGTTCTGCGCGATACCAGCCTTCAGCATCGTATATAGAAGAGACCAGTTCCTAACCTGCATCTCGCGGAGCTTAGTCAAGAAAGACTGGAAAGTGGCGCCGCTTGAGAGGTGCTGTTTCATGCCGACGCGCACTTCGTCTTCGTACATACAAGATACGTGTAGCAAGCAAGAAAGCTTCGTCAAAGCGGACATACTGGACCTTAGGTGCTCCTCGTCTACGATATCAAACGCTTTAACATCGTTGAGCGCCATCGAAAGCGCCTGGATGAGCAATTCGTCTAGAAACTTGAGCATCTTCAAGAAGAGAGGGCGACGCGCATCGACAGGCATGGTCAGATAAGAATCCTGCTCGAAATCGGCGACGACCATCTCGATACTTTTGAGAAGGCACGAAAATTGTTTCGTCGTGTAGTCGATAGCGTTATAAGCTTCCCCGAGGCGCGTCCATAAGAATAGTCTTAATTCAGTACTCGCCCCTAACAAAAATTTCCAGAGATCGCGCAGACCCTGATCCGCAGCCTCCGAGATAGGTAGACTTTTGCCGGTAGCTGCCGGCGCCTCGGGATCTTCGTCGACCACCATAGCTTCGGGATCGCTCGTTGCTATATGGACGGAAGAGGGATTCAATACTGGCTCCAAGCTCTCGATGATAGATACGGGATCGCTAAGGTCGTTCTGGAATAGCCCAAGGAAGAAATCCATGGTCGTCAGTTTAGATATCTCCCTGTCGGCTGCGCGGGCGGAAACTTCCGGCATGATAGCGTTATTTGGTAGTCGGATATCAAAAGGCTCATCTTCCTCGCTGATCCTATCGCGGAGGCTCTTCCAGCACTGAAGAACATGGTCTCTCGATACGCCTTCCGTCAGAGTAACAGCAAAAACGGCGGACCATAAGAATCGGATGGACAACAGACGGTCCGCACTTTCGGGGCGATCCCGACTCATCTGCGAAGCAAAAGTGAACCAACGACCTAGTCTTCCTTTGGTCTCCACGCGAATTGCGTATTCTACGGCGCTATTGGGGTTGGTGATCCGTTCATACACATCTAGGTGTAGCTCGAACAACATTTGGACTATCTCGTCAATCGTAGCCAACGTCACGGCCGGATCTTCGGACGCGTCGTGATATCTCAGTTCGTACTGCACGCGTCTCCAGATATCTTCGTCGAGATGGCTAATCACTTGAACAACCGCAGTCTTCATAGAATCCGGCCACTTGCTCGTAAGGTAAGTCGCGCAGATATGCTTGACCCATTCGAAAGCAACGTCTTGGATTCCTATCCAGTTGTCGTTGATACTTTGGACGAAGGCCTTTAAGCCCCTAGTCTCGTGGAACACAGGCGTCTCGCGTTTGTTCTGAGATCCAGGCTTCGAGTGCTCTAGGAAAGACGAGAAACCGACCGTAGACGCCTCCTTTTTATTGAAAACCACCCTGGTACTCTCCTCGTCAAATTTCACAAGCGAATCGCGCAGATCGACCATGGCCGACCGTTCAAGCTTAGCAGTTCGTGTAGAAGACGCGCACGAGTCAAGAATCTCAGCCAGTCGATCGAGGGTATCGCGGTCGGTGACTCCCAGGTTCTCTATCATATTACGTGTCATCTGAAAGAGATTCTGGTCGGCTGCCTGGAACGGCTGCAACTGGGTAGCATACTGAGTATTTGTGTCCATAACCTCTCCGGCAGTTTCCCGGCGTCGAATACGCTTGCTCCTC